TGAAGCACCGCCACTGTTCGTAGCGGGAACTAAAGTTGACATAATATGCCAGTCTATTGTATTGATTAAATCGTATCTCTGTATTTTAAAAATTTAAACGAAACAATAAAAATATATTGTGTAATTTGAATATGTTTGGTTTTAGTTTTTTTTTAAACGTTACCTCCACACTAGGATTTTCTCCTGTATCGTGGAGTTTGCAAACATAAATTTCACAAGGACAAACATTCCAGACCCGGAACAATTACTTGTAGGACATACAAATACTTGTTCATTGCTAAGCCACTGCGCCACAGAGCCTTTATATAATAAGTATAATTTTAGTAATAATGAGAGTGTGCATATTTTTTAAAACTCATTACCAAACGAAAGTACGTTAACATTCGCCATGTAAGTGAATTTATAGCTAATATAAAAAATAACTATTTGATTATAAAGTTGCTTAAAAATTTATTATTAAACTCGAGACAATTTAGGAAGCCCGATTCGATGTTTCTCATTATTATTGTCGCGAAATATTTGCATGAATGTCTACGTAAGAAATCAAAAAATCATATTCATAATCCAACATAATTACTATGTTATACTTACAATACAACAATGATCAATACAACAACAATCATTGGTAAGCACCAAGTTTCACTTTATAATCGAAAATTGCACTCAAAAACACGAAATAGTCGTTGACTAATATTTGGACAGGACGTTACCACGATGTTTGTCGTTCGTTGCCGTAGTTTTGTGACCATTATTAACTGTTTTTTGACTGAATAAAATCGATTTTATGAAAAATAGATACTTTTATATTTACAAAAGAGAAAAATGTATTATTGAATTTCTAACCATATAAAAACAAAATCTGACCACATACGAGTATATTTCATTAAAATTTTGGCTAAAAGGTCGGAGTCTCTTGCTATTTTAGAAGGTCTTTGTGTTATTGGTTAATATTTTATTTTCTGACTCGACTATCACTTTTGGATTGTTTCTATTAAATTCGTTTTTTTATAGGATAAGGTGACAAACGTGCACACAGTCCACTTGATGGTAAGTGATTGCTGCGGCCCATAGACATCTGCATCTATCCTCAATTACAGTAAATAAGAAGAAAAAATTGTAGGCTGTTTATTTATAATAGGGTTCTAGAGACATATATTCAAACTAGTTTTATGTTTTAGATGTTACGAATAAATTGCTGTATTGAATTGCTAAGCTATCATGTACAGATAACAATTTAAATTTTTTTTTCATTTTGCATAGATCGGACCATAAACAATAATTAAAAAAGCTGAAGGTACTCCGGGTTTAACAATGACATCGGGACGTCAGTCATCTCAGTCCCCCGTGACCATGGTGCTGGAAAGCGCCCGAAACGTCGGGAATTAAAAATAAAAGTAAATAAAAAGTAAAAATAAACGCGATAAAATCCGTAAAAGTAGTTTTAATCATGTATAGTGTTCGCGTAAATATAAGAAATCATTAACAATTTAAAACTTAAATATTTTAAACACAGATATAATATTTTAAACACATATAATATTTTAAACACAGATATAATATGCTAACTACAATAGGAGAGAAACCATGTCCAGCACTGGTTTACTACTGGCAGATGACAAAGTGTCAGGAAACATGATGTAATTGAATACATGGTAAACTTGACAAATCAAGCAAAAATAAATAATAAAATCAACTTTTTTCGTTGACAACCAAACTCTTAAAACCTTATTTTGCGCAATATTTTTACGGCGGTAAAAGCGATACTAAATGACTTTTATTATCACATTTGTATATTTATGTCATTTTAAGTACTCTTCGCATTACCTGGAATGAGTTCAAACATTTAAGAAAAGCCGACACAAAACGAGCTTATTTATACAGTTATTTAAATAAATGCGCGTCCTAGAAGAACATGTTTGCTGTAAAGGCTATCGGTCCTAGGGGTCCCAGTGCAGTGTACATCCGTGACTTGACTTTGCCGCTGGTGATAGGGCTTGATTCTTCTTACGCTCAGAGGCTAAGTATAGACATTCAGCGAGGAAGCGTAGTCAGCATTCCTGGCACTATATCGCGAAAGTAGGATGGTATGATAATTTAGGGGTTTATTTTAAATTTAGGTTTTATTGTAATAAATATAATATATTCTAATGACATATATATAAAAAAAAAAAAAAAAAAATATATATATATATATATTATATTTAAATAAGCATCTAATTAATTTAAGTATTTATTTATATTTTAACATACTATACCTAAATTAAATCCTTTTTTTCGATTTTTTTTTAAATCCCTGATGTAAAAACAGGGATGTGTCAAAATAATACTAAAAACAGTTTTACTTAATACAGGATTCAGTTAGTTAGTATTATAAGAAACACCCATTTACTGAATTATGATTAGTTTTTCATATGGACAAAGGAGCCAGGCAGGGTAAGCTCATTCAATATTATCTTCTATACCAGAATTCGTGCAACTGATGTATTATGTAATAATACTAATTAGGGACGACAATTCATGGCATTCACTTGTCAGCATGAAGTCTATTGTATATACCACGTATTGTATATCGACGTATATATCATGGCGCTGGCATGTTTCCGGTAACAATCGATTATATCTAATATATTTTTAATTTACTATCTATATAGTTTCTTTTTAATATAAAAAATAAAATATTACCTTAATACTGAAATGGCTGGCATTATTTTCTTTCTAGTGTTAGCTTTTTCAAATAGAAATATTTCTCAATACCAAACATAATTTCATTATATTTAAGCTCTGTTGACTAGCATTCAATATTTCCCCATCTGATGCTTGTTTAAAAAAATACTTTTTTAATACTAAATATATTTTTATAACATGTAGGTACTTACATAAAATTCTGACTTCGTACGAGTATATAAAATTTTGCATTGTTAAGTTTTTTAATTTAAGTTTATTTGGTGTTAATGGAATTTATTTTACACAAGATGTCATTTTATGAAAACGAGCACACAGTTTAGCTGATGGTCATGCTTGATGTGATGATATGGCATGTAAAAGCTTATTTTTATTTTTGAGTAAGAATTAAAATGTTGCGTTGCAACCTAAGGAATATAGGTAGTAGATTGTCTCATTAACTGTGAAAAGAGTTGCCGGTTTTTCTAACTTACTATACAAAATATAACAGTAAATTGAAGCTGAAGTTTTCTTCAAACGCCAATTTCACCTATAAATAGTGCATTCTATTGATTGATGTAAAAGACGTTTTTTAAACTATTAGAAGAAAAAGTTTGACGACTGTGCCGCATGCTGGTGAACGGTAATGTAGCCAAAGATGGTCAAGCACACTGACTTAGCTAAACAAAACCCTTGATCTCTTGCCTTGATGATGGCCACATTGTAATTGGATGAAAATACGGATTCCGGAAATTTGTTCCACTCCTTTGCTGTACGCATTACGAAAGACGGAGTTCGATTCACTAATGCTAGAATATTTATTCAGAAAGGTTCTTAAAGACCTAAATTTGTATTGTAGACCTAAATAGTAACAGGGTTAGTATTATAGCGAGAGGATACTAGCGCTGCACTCTAATAAACTGTTATATCCGGTGATCATGTCGCATCGTCGGCGGTAAATTTTCATAATAAAATTATGTTAAAATTATGTAATAAGACAAGTTATGTATTAAGCCCATCCTCTGTAATATTTTATTTGATAATGTTGCAATCAATAATAAATAAAGCAAGCGCTTGTCTGCAATGTTACTTGGTGGTAAGCGGGATTTAAGCTAAGATGTAACAGAGAATAAAGCATTATGCTTGTATGTATATTGAAGAATTTAATGTTTCTTCAGTATATATTTTATATCTGAGACGAGTAGTTGCCGATGTCGAAACATAGTATTTCTCAACGCTTATGGTTAATAAAAATACAAATTTACGATTAGCTATTCATTGACTCCATGGGTGTTCGAGCTCTGAATACTTGATTAAGGGATTTCTAATATTAATCCTCTACTAACTTTAGTAATTTTTACTCGTAACACTAAATAAAACGGGAGCTTAAACAGCAAGGGGACAGCTTGTTTGGTCCTTTATGAGGTTAAAGTACTTAAATAAAAAATCACCCAAACACGCAACTCACGCGATCCTCCTCATTTAGTTATTGCGTGTATTTACCACCCCGTTTGCCTTTCAAACTAAGCGTTTTTATGTCCTATATTATTATATTTATTATTCCAACTAAAAGTATAAGATTCACTGGTTTATTACTCATCAGGCTAATTATAAAAAATAAAGATACAATTATTTGTAAAAATTAAATTTTACGACTACTCTTTATGACCACTTCAGCTTCACATACAAACGTGTTTATAATAGAATATCGTATGGTGAAGAAATAATAAAATAATAATATTTAACAATTGACTGACGCTGACGTAACGGTATATGTGACAAAACCGCTACGTCAGCGCACCTTGCCAAGAGGTGTTAGTGCCGTGCCTCGGCAAAAATTGAAGGTGCAAAGGCCCGCTTGTGCACATGGCCTTACCATGAAACGGCGCCGGGTCTGGGCGTCTCCCGCTAAACGACGCCCTAAAAATGGATGATGGAATTAAATAGAACGCGCACAGGGCCGCTGCCTGGAGGTCGCCAGGGCGCGTCTGAAGCTGGCGCTGGACGCGACAGCATGCGAACCGCCAGCCGAGCGCGAGGTACTGAACGACCACCCAGAACCCCCTCGCATCCATCATCCACCACCAGCTGGCTTGGTGTCGGCAGGGTCTTTGCGGGCCCAGCAATCGGCACCCGCCACTGGTGGAGTACGCCGCAAGCGTTGGACAACCCAGATGAACAGCAACGCATTGCGGGCGTATTTTAGGGCGAAAGGGGGAGAAATTGGAGGTTTTGCGTATCGGGCAAGGATGCATCGACTTTTTGCTGACCATCTGTAACCATCACCGAGCAAAACCTGGCAGACCGAGTTCGGCATATCTTGCTCTCAAATACATTTGATGTCACCGAACTCGAACGGCTACGAAGTGTGGCCTTCATCGGGTGAAAATGCTGCGGCTGAGGATGCGGCGCCACAACTTGCTGAGCAAACGGCAAATGTGAATGCCGCCGTAAATACGCCAGTTGTGGTTGATTCAAACCATGATGGAACAGTCGCCCAGGAACTGGAACTAGAGCAAATGAGGAGTACATTGGAAGAGGCGATTGTGGAAACGCGCAGTACGCCTCTCGAAAATTGAGGCAACTTCCCCGCTTAGCCCTAAGCAAGCGGAATCGGGCTGTCGTGAGGGCTCTGAACCCAATGCTGGTTACCTATTTGGAAGCCATCCGGGACCTTTGCGAGACGGAATTCAATTTGGCGCCGCACTGGCAGTCTGTCGTATTATAGGCGCCAAACTTTCACGGCTGGACGCATTACTGGACAAAGTAGTGCTATCCCAGCCTGGAGAATAAGAATTAAAGAACGTATCGCAAAGGCTAGGGCCCTCATCGGCAGACTGATATGCTTCAGGTCAGGCAATACCAGGCCAAGGATTGTGCGCACCGTCAGGATGGCGCTTGCTGGGACAAATGTTAGTTTGTTCTCTATAAATCATTAAATATTAGGCTCTATAAATCATTGGAGCGACCAATAGTAAGTGGAACGGGCCCAGCACCAAATCAGGCCGACACGGTCGCATTCTGGCGCAGCCTGTGGTCAGAGCCTGTAAACCACAACGAGGGGCCTCGGACGAGAAGTTGTGGCGGGTCAGTGTGCGGGTATTACGCCCATGGACCCCGTCATCATAACGCCGGATAACGTAGCTGAGGCTTTCCGTAGGGCCCCGAACTGGAAAAGTCCGAGGCTTGACGGGCTGCATCACTACTGGCTGAAGGGGTTCATGGTGTGTCACGCTGTGCTCGCCCGACAGTTTCAAGAGGCTCTCAACCAGAAGTCCTCAAGTCACTACTGGGATCACTCATTTGATTCCTAAAGATCAGGGTGCCACAGACCCGAGCAAATACCGCCCTATCACGTGTCTACCGACTATATACAAGACACGAACATCCATTTTGAGCGCGAGAATCGCTCGTCACCTGGACTCAAATCAGGTGATGTCGCGCGCTCAAAATGGATGTCGGGGCGACGGTCGTGGAATCAAGGAACCACTTCTCATTGACACGGTCATTGGCAAAGTGGTGAAACGCAACCGTCGGAACTTCTCCGCCGCCTGGATAGATTACAGAAAGGCATTTGACACGGCAAAAACAGACTTCCTCGAGCAGTGTATGGGGCAGTGGAGTACGATTCTCTGTCATCTAGGCGAGCGGGTGACGGTTGCGGAAAGCCGCATAAGGATAGGAAGGGTTATATTCCAAGGCGACTGTCTGAGTTCAATCTGGTTCTGCCTCTCTTTGAACCCTCTCGTACTTTTCTGGAGGGCTCCGGGAGGGGATTTCAGCTTTGGAAAGGAGGTACAAAAGTAAGCCACCTTTTCTATATGGTTGACCTCAAATTATTCGCCTCCAGTCGCTCCCATCTTGTGGAATTGCTAAACATCACTTGTGAATTTAAGAGCCGTGGTAGCTCAGTGGTTAACGCTCGCTGTAAATATAACAGAACGTCCGCAGTAACCCGGGTTCGATCCCCGCCGGCACCAATGAAATTGTTAATTGCAGTTTTAAGTGCTGATTTACCACGTGCTCGGCGGTGAAGGAAAACATCGTGAGGAAACCTGCATGTCTGAGGAATAAAAAAAATATTTCGAAGACATGTGAAGTTCGTCAACACGCATTTGGGCAGCGCGGCGGACACTTTCTTGCCCTAAACCCTCTCAGAAATGAGGGGAGGCCTGAGCCCAGCAGTGGGACGTATATAGGCTGTAACTTTACTTTTTTGTTTACTTGTGAATTTAGCAATTCTATTAGAATGGATCTGGGGACGGATAAGTGTGCGGTCTTCCATGTTGAAAGGGGAAGGGTTGCTAACTCTGAGGGCATAGACTTATCTATGCCCGTCAACTTAAGGGCCCTTTCCGAGGTTGAAATATACCGATACCTGGGTACGTCACAGAACATCGGTATCGATGAGGCTGGTATGAAACAGTCAGTTTGCGACGTGTTTTATGCACGCTTGACCAAAGTGCTTAACAGCCTTTTGTCCGGTGTGAATAAAACACATGCATATAACGGTTGGGTCATGCCTGTCCTCATGTTTACCTTTGGCATACTCAGGTGGATTCAGACTGAACTTAACGCCCTGGATAGAAAAGTCCGCACTATAATGACGTCCCATAGCATGCATCATCCGAGATCGTCGGTAATGAGGCTGTACTTGCCGCGAAAGAATGGTGGGCGTGGCTTTCTGAGCGCGCGACTGTGTGTTCGTTTGTAACCCAATGCTAAAGAAAATCAGCATCAATTACAAATTAAACTACGTTCAGAATCATATATCCTGAAAATTACTTAAACTAATTGCCTTATACATTTATAGAAATTGTATCTTCAAGAAGGTTTTCTTCCCAACGAAAATAACAGAAATGCAGGATTTAAATACACCAGGGTAAACTTTCTCACTTTTAAAAGTGCTTCCTACCGCCTTTTTTATGGCTGTTCTTCTTTTTTTTCTTAAACTGGGATTCCTTTAAATACGAAGAACAGCTTTTGCCCTAAATCCTCCTTACACTTTACATCGTTAAGTGATTGAAAACAGTTATTTTAGACCGTTTTACTCGTAGATAATTTTCCTATTTTTATAGTCCAAAAGTTATTCAATTTGATGATATTACATACGAGTACAAGATTCGAAGCGCAGTTCAAACAATATTTTTGCGGTGTTCTTTAAGACTAGTTGTTCTTTTATCATCTTGTCTCGGATAATACTGCCTAGCCTACCTCAAATCTCACTGCTTTCACCTTTTCGACGTCACGATCATGTATAGAAGATTAATTTTTTCGTGTCCTCATCACCACGATTCCATTAGAAGGCAATAGTGAAGGTAACTTGGACTTCATGTGAAGTTGGCTATTGATGTGATGCGATCGCGTGCCAATCTCTCTCTCTCTCTCTCTCTCCTCAAGCCATTTCACACCTACGTATTTCAGTTAGTTAAAATTGTTAGTTTAAACTAGTAAAAATTTATAAACATCCTTAAATAGTTAACTATTTTAACATTATAACGAAGTATTTTTCGTATACTTCATTATAATGTTAAAATCGACCTGGCAACATTTAACGCACGTACCCTGAGGGCTGACGAGAAGATCCTGGAGCTGGAAGAAGAGATAGACAAGTTGCGCTGGAATATTATAGGATTATCCGTGGTCCGAAGAGAGGGGGAGGACACGGTGATTCTCGAATCCGGCAACTTGTTCTATCACCGGGAGGGCGACCATCTGTTCCAAGGAGGTGTTGGATTTATCGTCCACAAGTCTCTCGTTAACAACGTTTTAAAGATTGGGAGTGTATTGACGAGGGTTGCGTACCTAATACTCAGAATCACCAAAGGGTATTTGCTGAAGGTCATACAGGTTTATGCGTCAACGTCGGAACATCCCGATGAGGAGGTGGAAGAAATGTATGAGGATATTTCCAGAGCCATTCATTCCTCCAAAACCCACTACACGGTGTTGATGGGAGACTTCAACGCAAAACTGGGCACAAGAAAGAACGGTGAGCTGAAAGTAGGGAAATTTGGGATAGCTCAACGGAACCCAAGGGGCCAGCAGCTGACCGTCTTCATGGAGAAAGAGGGACTTTTTATGATGAACTCTTTCTTCCAGAAGCGGCCCCACAGAAAGTGGACCTGGTCGAGCCCCGACGGTTCGACAAAAAATGAGATTGACTTCATTATGACGACCAGACGCCAACTGCTCAGTGATGTCTCAGTGATCGCAAGGGTGAAAACTGGCAGCGATCACCGAATGGTTAGAGGCACACTGAACCTAAACGTTAAGTTGGAGAGGTCTCGTCTAATGAAGTCAACGCTCCGTCCCCCTCGTGCTCTAATCCAGAATCCCGAAACTTTCAGCTCGAGTTATATAACCGCTTTCAGTATCTAGAAGATTGCAATGCAGTGGACGATATGAATGACAAGCTCTTGGAAACTGTCCATGCCGTCGGAGCTAAGTTCTGCAAGACCCGCCGCAGAAGAACACAAAACTCTCCGATCACACTCTTAATCTCATGCTGGCTGTTAGACGGGAGATGAGGCTGCAATCGTCAACACATTTTACATCGTACAGGCAGCTGAAGAGGCAGATCTCCAAATGTATGCGGCGAGACTTACCCAACTTTAATACTGATCGTATTAAAGAATCGATCGAGCGGAACCTGGGCTCCAATGTCTTTGCCAGAGATCTGTCTACCAGAAAGAACCAACTGTCAAAGCTGAAGACTGAGTGTAGCAGCATCGACTCCGGGACACCTGAAATTTTGAGTGAGATTGAGAGGTTCGATGGGCAGCTGTACACATCATCGTTGGAGCCACACGCAAGTGTGAGTAACGATCCAAGAGCAAGTCTTATCCCACACTATTCGGATGATATCCCGGACGTCAGTCTGAGCGACATTAGAATGGCTCTCCAGCACCTTAAAAACGGCCCAGGCGATGATGGAATTACAGCGGAGCTTCTGAAAGCGGGCGGAACACCGGTATTTGAAGTCCTTCAAAAGCTTTTCAATTCCGTCCTCCATGGTGGCACTACTCCGGAGGAGTGGAGCGGAAGTGCGGTGGTCTTGTTCTTCAAGAAAGGTGACAATGCCCTCATGAAGAACTACAGACCGATATCCCTTCTGAGCCGCGTCTACGTGCTGTTTTCGAGAGTCATTACGAATCGTCTCGCATGCAGACTCGATGACTTCCAGCCTTCCGAATAAGCCGGTTTCCGAAAAGGCTTCAGTATCATAGAACACATACATATTGCACACACCTGGCGTATGTGGACTATGAGAAATCCTTTGATTCCTTCGAAATTTGGGCGGTGCTACAGTCATGACGTCATACAGTCGTGACGTTATTTCCCCGAAACTCTTCACCGCTGCATTGGAAGACGTTTTCAAGCTACTGGACTGGAAAGGATACGGTATTAACATCAATGGCGAGTACATCACTCACCTTCGATTTGCCGACGATATAGTCCTTATGGCAGAATCGCTGGAGGACTTAAGCACTATGCTCAATGACCTCAATGGAACGGATAGGTCTTAAGATGAACGTGGACAAAACAAAGATCATGTTTAATGTCCATGTCACACCTA